AACCAACCTCACTGTTGTGTTTAGGGAGGGGGGGAAAATCAGTGGCGGTGCTCATAAAACTGATTATAAGACTAATTAGCTCGGGTATGGCTGCTATAAAATATTATCAGTAAGATAAACTCTTTGTTGGGGAAATGATATGGCTGCTGCCAGTCTTGTCTACGGCTGAACACGTGCAGCATCCTCACTTCCCTGTGTCCGCAGCCTTGCCAGTGCAGATAAGGGAGCGGTGCTCCCCGGCGGGACCGACCAAGCCCTGGTGCCACCAGCCCCCAAGTCCAGCCATGCCATTCATCTCCCGGTCCCCTCCCCGTGCTGAGCAGTCACTTTTAGGCAGCCCTGTGCGATATTTGCAGGTCCCGCACTTGAACTGGTGCTGCCAGCGCAGCTCTGACCAAACACCCCGCACCGCCGAGGAAGGGAACGTGGGGAGGGAAACTGCAGGCTCGCAGGGGGGAGTAAATACATCTGCTCAGCTGAAGCAAATCCTTGCAGCATAAACAAACAGGGACACATGTTTACTCTTCACTCCATTCACAACACAATAAATATTTATTTCAAGTGAGCAGCTGGTTAGTTAAAGCTTTGTCTAATGCTGGGTTTGATCTACCAACCATTTGGACAAGAGATCTTTTTAAAATGTATTTATTGTCATGAAGTGAGCTCCAAACGCTGTAAGACAGCCCTGAAACAAATGTAAGCATGGGCAATGTTCTAGAAGCATCAAAAGTCACGCTCGGTCTCGCTTTGGGAAGGACGCAGCCTGCCTGTGCACAACCACATCACACGGGCCACATCAAGTCACGCTGCTGGCAGGGGCGAGCACTCCCAGTAACACCGAGGATGGCAACAGAAAGGCTTTTAATTATGACTTTGTCTTTCGTCTATAGGTTGCAAAACACACGAAAATAGTTAGGCATCTCTCCACACCCTGACAGGTAACATTTTACCAGTGCTCTCACTGGGAAGATGAAGCACACGCCAAGTCAAGGAGAGACGCCGAGAGCCTGTGTCTCTGTGTTTAGCCACAAAACTATCTCCCTCTTCCGGCACAGCGATGTCTCTTCCAACCCCTACTTGCCATAAATACAGGTAGCGAACAACCGCTTGCACTGAGAGTGCCGATGCAGTCCTGGATGTTTGTCAGACTTTCCAGCGGGCTGGGGCAGCTCCCTCACCCAGTCTGTTTGCACTTTTAACTTTATCAAAGCGCTCTTCCCCCTCCTCCCCACCTATTTGCCTTGGCGGCTGCTCAGGGGTTTCCAGGCGTGCCCCGATGCACACCGAGCTCTCGCGCAGCACTGCAGGAATGAAGCTTTTCCCTTTCCCAAACAGACATCAAAGGAAGCATGGACTTCAACTGCAGGGAGGACTCTGCTTTCACTCTCCACCTTTCAGTCTATCGTGATACAGCTATGAAGCTCAGGAAGACGCAGATACTTAGGGAGAAATTCAGCTACAGCCCTTGTCCGCCTTCCACCTGCAGCTGTACGTGCTGTGCCCCTCTGGCAGGAGGGACTCGGGCAGCGCCTCTGGGTTTTAGGAGCTTCAGATAATGCCACCTGGCTGGGGGCGGGCAGCTCAATATTGCAAGGGAGCGAAGTGGGGTGTCTGCAGGGAAGGATCGCCCTTCTGCCATCCGTGGGGCTGCACGGGGACACTGGGGGCCGGGGGCCCGGCTGTGGCGGCACACACGGCGTCATCCGCACAGCACCGCATCACACCTCTCCTGCATGGGAACTCCCGCAGCGTGGCTCTGGGTGGACACACGTACCCAATCTGCCATGCCTCATTAAGGGATTACACCATATTTACAGCAAATCGCTACAAGAAAACAGGACCTGAAACAGTGCAACAGCAATTAGCTGCTAACGAGTCTTCATAGATAATCTACCGGACACTTGTTTCTCACTCCAACTGTAATTGCTGCTTTAGCATCGGCTACAACAAAAAAAAATTCCGGCGTCACCATCGCTTACAGCAGCCAAGATCCACAAAAACCCCCTTATCAGCAAAATAAATTAGTGGTTGCCGATTGCCACGTCTGCGCTCTTCGGGGCACAGGAGAGCTCTGAAGAGGTCGTTGGAAAGGCTCTTGGCAAGGCACAAGGATGGGGAACCCACCCCCAGCCCGGGCAAGCTTCGGAGGGTCACAGGAGGACAGAGGCCTGGAGGACACCAGAGCCAGGGAGCAGGGTGCCTGGGTGGAACGAGGTCCTCCCCCAAAGCCAGCAGAGGTGGGACCCAGCCCCACCTTGTGCAGCCTCGAGCCTCAGCCAGCAGCACGCCGGCTCCCCTGGCACCATCCCTGCCCGCTGGGCTCCCGGCCCTTGGGATCTGTTCTCCTCCTCCTGGGGCCCTGAACCCCATTTCAAAACCCACTGTGCCCCTCTTTGGGACGCGGGTGTTTTACCTTCCTGCTCAGTGTCGCCTCGGAACGAGCAGGCGAGTGGTGCTGGGTGAGTCCGGGCTGAAGGGACTGTGTCCTCAGCACCAAAACCAGACACAGCTCAGAGCCAGACCTGCCTGCAGGCGCATGCCTTCCCCGACACACGCACAGAGCCACGCTACCTATGAACAAAAGAAAAATAAATTGTTTCTGCTGCAGACTGGCTGGGAAGAAAAAGTAAGAGACTGTTGTTTCTGCACTGCAACTCCAGGGAAGTGCTCAGAGCCCTGCTGAGGGGCCAGCCGGCGATGCTCCGGGAGAGCAGGCAGCATGGCAATGGGACTTTTTTTAAGAGCTTGGACTTCTCCTGCCCGGTCCTTCCCCCTGGGGTGGGCCGAGAGGGGCTGCCCGGCTGAGGGCAGGGACCACAGCAGCAGCGCAGCCTCCCCGTGCAGCCCAGGCACCAGCCGGCCGCTCTGCTGCGGCTGTGACTCCTCGCTGCATCGTGGTGCTCAGCCTCACAGGAGCTTTCCTGAGTGGTGACGGGGTGCACCATGTCACACAAGCCGGGGCAAGGGGGTCTCGTCCTCTCCCCCCCCCTTTTTTTTTTTTTTTCCCCCTTCTGCTGCTTTCGCCTTTCTCTGCTTCTCCAAGTCCTCCACCAAGCATGCACAACCCGGTTCCCATGCTCCAATAACTCCTGTTGCTCTGACAGCTCCCTAAACCCTCTGCTAATGCTGATGGCAGATGACAGGCGGGGAAAGCAGAAGCTCCATTTTAAAGGGAAATTCATCAAGTCTGTTTACTGTTTGCTGTGTCCCCCGTGTAGAGCCTCTGGGATCTCGAGCACTGATGCAGACACATGTCTAGAAACACACTTGCTCTCTCCAGAGCCTCTCCAGTATCGATGAGAAAAGGAAATGGCAGGAGCAGTGACAACAGCTCTCAGCCATGCCCACACATGATCCGTGGCGACTGAGATCAGGGTGACACCTGAAGCCTTTTGCACCAGAACCGTGTAAGCCACAGGCAGGATCTTTCACGGCAACGTCACTCCCACAAGAGCCATGGCACTAGTGCCACCAGAGCTGCCGCGCAGGGCAGCACAGCCCCGGTGCGCGGGGAGGAGGCAGGGCCGTGCCTAGAAACGCTGCGCTGACGGTGCACAAGGACTGAGGAGGGGGACACCTACCATGCTCTCCTTGTGTAACCCCAGAGCGTTATTTCACACGTCGGGAATCACAAGGCACTTCCGTCCCCACTGAGGGCAACGTAGGCAAGGGGACGGGGACTGCCACCCTCCCCTGCGCTCCCGGGGTCTGACACTGCTGCCTGGGATCAGGAGGCTTTAACTGAGCTATTTTCTCTGCCTCTGCAATAGCAGGCCCACGGCTTCGCCAGCCGCTCCGCG